TACACATCACTATATGCTCATGATAGGCTATTTCTATTTTTCATGCTGGAATTTCCTTCGGATCAAACAAACACAGTGAGACTGATCACAGCTGGTTTCATGATTATTGCATTTTCATGAAATCATTTTGTGTGCCATAATGTTGATTTTCAAGTGTATTTTACAGTAGATATTGATGAAAGCAGAAACTCTACTGAAGACTCAGACAGTGAGCTGATCTGTATGCTGTGATAAATTGAACAGTTGTTTGCTCTGTAGCAGTCGTGTGGTTGTGGTTGCTCATTTCTCAAAGATTTTGTGGTTTTAGTGTGTCATGGTAATACACAGAAGTAAGAGGCCATATTAGCTCTGAGTGACAAACCACATGTGATTGAATGAAAGAGACACACGACTCCATAATCAATCATAATAACCAGAAGAAAATCAAGAGGCAAACATTCATGAAAAATTCAAGGCACAACAGATCAGAGCAGAGTTCAGCGTTCTCTGAAGGAAAGACACATCATGTACTGTTGGAGGGGAAACACAACTCTGATTCCTGAAATATCATGGGGACATTATGAATGTATATGAATGTATTTGTAAACACTGTCACTTGCTATAAGGATGCTGTTAAACATGAGGACACAGCAGAGTGACTATATTCACAATATTGAATGACCTCCAGAGGCTTAATGCTTTCATTAATCAGTTGAAGCATAATCAAAATTATATACAGTATATTAAGGACACACAATTTAGTTAAATTGTTATTTGATGGAATATCATTCTGTAGTGTGACATGCAAGCCAAGGTTAACAGTTGATCTCTACAGGTGCTGCACAGTGATTTATACATGACTGGAACACTGTATTAACCAATCATGAGCCGGGGCTGGATCGATCGTTTCATTATAAGAATTTAATAGAGATGGAGATGAGAGGAGGCGTGGATGAAGAGCCGTCTGTAATCACATGAAGTCCTCTTCTCCTCTGTGAGTGAGTGACTGGTCATCAGCTGGGCGGACACGCACAGAGCACTATGCAAACCACATGAACGCTTTTATCATTGTAAACGCTATTAATTCATAATTAACCGTCATTATCCTGCTGAAACTGAAGGAGTTCATGAGGACCAGATTCAACACAACCACGGTTTATCACAAGCCATCATTCAGTGTGACCCTGATTATTAATATATTAATATATATTGAATATGAACAAAAAAAACACAGTAGGTAAGGTGCTTTATTGTAGAAAGAGGTTAAAAAACAGCATTATGATATTTAGCCTTCGCCCTTGTAAAAAAATAAGTACTTTTCTAAAGGGTACTTAAGAGATTTATGAAATAATATACATTAATAGAATATAATTGAGCGTGGATTGAATGAAATATTTCTGGATACTTAACTACATGTTATTTTTGTATTATAATTTGCATGTACAGTATAGTACATATCTATATGTAATTCCATAATTACACCTATTATCTTTGAAATATCGTTGAAGTGTCCTGCTGAATGTACTGACAAGCATTTATGATGAACTAAAATATACTTGAAACTTGTATGCCATGCATTTTTAAATATATTTGTAATTATGCATTTATAATGATGAAGTTGCAATTTAACATATATATTATAACTTGTTAAATTTATTCTGAAGACTGTATCACAATGTGCATTGTAATACATTATAATTACGAAACGTGATTGGTTGCTTTACCTGTCAGTCATATGGCCTCTTGGCCATTCAAAGCGGCCGAGGTTCCCAGACCTTCTGCCGTCAGTCTGAGATGTTTCCTGCTCTTCCTGGTGAAATGAATGTCTCCTCACAAACACTTGCAAGAGTGCTGATATTTATTGTTACTGCACTGGAGTTTCACTGTATCATTGTGCATGTCTGTGTTCACTGTGTTTTTGGCATTTATGGAGCAAAAATAAACAAAATCGATGGCTTATTGCATCTAAAATGTCAGCTATTCCATATTAATGTCTTGTTTATAAATGTTAAGAGCAATATCACACAGTCATGCTGATTAGCACACTCTTGCATGTGTGATATTGCTCATTTAGAAATGTATGAAAAATAATCAAATAATGATAAAGTAACTATTATTTTACATTTATTTTTATACTTTTTAAATCATTTTATAATTGATGTAATATATATATATATATATATATATTTCAAAACATTTATGTTCTTCTTGAAATTAAAATAAATTTTTTAATGACTCATTTGAATCAGTGTTTATTGTTTATTTTCAGTTTTCATTTTTATTTTAATTGCAGTTTTATAAATTTTGTTAGCAGTAGTAGTTTATGTATATATCTATACATTACAGTATAGTATAGTAGTAGTCGTAGTAGTGTATACACACACAGACACACATATATATATATACATGTCTGTGTCACGATCACATGTTGCTGTTGTTTTTTTTGATCCAGTGGGGGCGGCAGTCATATTTCAGGGTGACCGTGCCACTCTTTATCACAACCCTGCTAAAAGTGCCAGTACGTGCGCTCATTGGCGCCCCTTCAGCTGGTGGCGCCCTAGGCGACCGCCTAGCTCGCCTATGCCTAGAAACGGCCCTGCTATCCCCTTACCCTACTTACTCGAGGGTCTCACCTCAGTCGTGGCATTGAGGGTGGAAGAGAGCGCTGGTCTTTCACTCTCTCACCTGCGACCTTTGGTTTACAAGTCCGACTCTCTAACCATTAGGCCACGACTGCCCCCATTTGTGTCCTCATAAACCATATAAACCTGTACACACACATAAATAAAGGTGCATTCGGCCACAGATGTGAAAATGAGAGGGGGTTCACGGTAACATCAGGTCACAGTCTCTAGAGGACCACGCATGCTGACCATCACAGTGACGAACAGAAAGCACAGAGAGCACTTTTAACACTAATATCAGTCGAGATCCCAAACATAATTCAACAGCTGCACAAAAAGAGAGACTAATAACATATTCAGTTGACAGGAAAAAAAGTTATATTATTTTTTTAATCAAGTTGAATTAAAGAATGCTTTATTTTATTCGTGATTCATATCTCATTAAGCTAAATCATTAACACTGATTCCTGAGCACACAATAATTTTTTATCCAATTTGTATATCCTCAGAGAGTTTGACAGTAACATTAGCAACTGATGCTGAAGAATAACTTGCAATGTTATATTTGTATGTAACTCAGTAAACAGTTTAATTGTTGTGCCTCTGAATAATTAAAGGCAGACGCTTAGAGAATCAGTGTCTTTCAGAAGTGGACTGGATTCAACGCTCCGGACAGGACTGACAGCCGCGTTCAGCTGCTGTGTGGATCTGAGAGAGCAGAGGGGGACGAGAGAGATGAAAACTGTTATTTTAATAAACCGGGCCTACCTTTACTCCTCTGGTGCTATGTACACATAACCTTGTTTATCAAAGCGACTGTTTGAAGCGCTCGTCTATGTTTTTTTCTCTTTCATTTTTGCAATACCTGCAGCCTCGAGCGGCTCACTCACTCACTTTGTTGTTTGCCGTGTTTCCTTACTTTTTCCTCCCTCTTTCTCTCCCTCCCTCCTCTCTCTCAGTTCCTCTTGCTCTGTCTGCTTTTGTAGCGCAGGGTTGAATTTTGGGTTCAGGCTCAACATCTCTCGCACCTGTGCATGTGCATTAAATACAGTTGTTAACATGTAATGACTGCAGGAGAGTCAGAGGTGTTGCAGGAGACTGAGGAGGTCATGACCTCTGACCCTGAGACCTCAACTGTGCAATATTACACACATGCACACCTACGTTTCTGTCAACTTTTAATTTTTTCTTTCTCAACGCAGTTCAGTTTAATTTGAACAAGCTTTATTAACATGATAAACTTATACAGCTAGACAGCAAGAAGATAACAGTGACATCTGCAACTAAAGATAAAAAGTGCAAGCATTAGTAATCACAATTCAGTGTGGAAATAAATTCAGTCACAAATAAGTACGTGCATATAATGATGAACAAGCATTGAATAACTTTGATGTGACGATATAAGTAAACCATTTATAGGTTGAAGACTTCTTTATTTCTTTAACACATTATTAATACAGATTGCTTCAAAGCAGCTTCACAATAATGGACAGGAAAATAAAATTCTGCTGTAAAGCAGCTCTAAAAAGACAACAGTGTCGTTATTCAGCTCAATCCAGTTCGGTTTTGATTCATTTTAATAACTGTGTAAAGTAAATCAATTATGAAACAAGTTCAATTCAGCTATAAGCAGCTTTAAAGAAGACAGTAATGTCCTCAATCCATTGTAGTTAATAATTTATTAATAATTAATCAATTAAGAGTGAATTTGAGTCTGCTATAAAGGAGCTCTACAGAAGACAATAGTGTCTTCATTTAGCTTCAAGTTTTGTTCTCATCCAGTAGTGTCAGTTTTTTAGATTTTTTTTAAACACTGAATATCTTTTTGTTTGAGTCAACCAATGGCGTGTGTTTAGGGCGGGACTTTTTCTTTGTTTGACCAATGGAAGACGTTCAGAAAACAGTCATTTAACGTGTAAACTTAAATTACCAAACAGAGTCTGTACATTAAAGATTTTTTTAAAATTTTTTAAATTTATTTATTTTTTGTTTTTTTATCTTTTTACTTTTTTTTTATATTATTTTTTTGAGCATGCAGGGTTTTTTTAATTTATTTTTTTATTGAAGATATAACATTCACAGGGGATACAGTCATAGCAATAAATTACGTCTGTACATTAAAGTTGCTGTACGTTTTGATAACTTCTGGCCACCCAGTCACTATATCAGCCCAAATCCCTCGAAGCACCCGCCTTCCTCCCAAAACCCCGCCCACTACGCGTCATTTAACAGTGTCACTCAAAATGACTGACAGGCAAGAATGGCTTTGCGATTGGCTAAAAAGTGCAGGCTGCTTTTGATTTGCTGTGTACAGATCCTAGCGCAGGTGAGGTTTCCAGGCAGGAAGTAGTAAGATTTTACGCGTGGCTTTAAACAAAAGGTCTTTCAGCACATTAAGTGTTTCGAGCTGAATTAATTGCCGAAAGCTGTGGAGAAGCAGAAGACTGAAGTAAGCTGATCAAGCTGTGTGTGTGTGTGTGTCAGTAGGGGGCGCCTGTCCGCTCGTGGAGAGCGCCGGTGACGTCTCGCGCGCTCGCAGTGCAACAGAGTATCGGAGCGAGACGCGGAGAGAGAGCATGGGGCGCGCGGATCGTCGGGAATAAGAAACATTTCCCAACACTTTCAAAAACTTTCTCAACTCGGCAGACAGATATGGATACCATCATTTTGAGCATATTACTCCTGCATACGGCGTTTGGAAGCGCAGGAGCCCAGTACACACCCGGTAAGTGCCTAAAGATTCACCTTTAACGATCCCCGCGGCGGAACGAGCAAAAGTTTCCATGGCTGTTGCTTTGAATGCGTGCGCACCTTTCTGTGTGGCACGAGCGCACGTTTACACCTCACAAGTTCATTTGTGTGTCCAGGTGGCTCTTCTGGCAGTTAATGAGTGAGGTGTGCGGATGATTTGGGCTGGTTTTGTGTGAGAGAATAGGGACGCGCAGTGGAAGTCTTCCACCGAACCCCGTTAACACCTCCTCAGCGGTCCGCTCGGGATTTCTGTCGTGGTTCCAAATGGAAATGTATTCCTGTCCAACAACACAAAAACTAGATTTAATTTCTAACGACTCGACGAATGGTTCTGTAGGACATCACAGGGAATTCAAGGAAAATCTGCGAGGGTTTAAAACTCCTAAACCTCCTTTAAACAGTCTCGTAAGAAAACAGTATTCTAAGTTCAGGTAAAAAGTAAAGCATTGAAAGCATTTAAGAACAGAAAATCCCGTAAGAATTTGTTTCTTTACTAGAGTGTTATGCTTCCTTTAGCATCCTTTCGGATTGGCTACACATTATAATATGAATTCCCACAGGATTTCCGCCCGGAGCTCTTTCTTGAGGGTTTTTAGAACTAGAGAAAACCTGATGAACTTTTCAAAATGAAGGATTAAAACTGTATTTACTTGATTCTGTTCAATTCTACATGGTTTCTTTCAGAGGTTTGTTGCAGAGTGTTTTTGAGAGTCAAAATCAGTTTTCTTATATGTGTGTGTGTATATATATATATATATATATATATATATTTATATATTTGTAATATTCTAGTATTGAGCAGTTTTAGCTGGAGCGCAAATGTGACCGCAAAGCATCACAATATATCAAGTCAGGAGCACATCAAATACTTTTGGCAGATGTTTTTAGTTGTTTTTATACAGATATGAGGACAAAATAGAGCTGTTGCGATGTTAAAATGCTTTCAAATGAGAGAAATGCATGAGTTTTCCAGATGTGTCACTATAAATTTTTCAGATTTTACTCACGGTATCAGATATTAAATTACAACATGTGAATCACTTTGTAATTCTCACCACATTATTGGTAATATCATCATCATTATTATGTCGATCGCTTTGTAAATAAAGGAAATGTATTGTAAAATACAGGTCAGATGAAACCAAACCAGGGTTTTTTTTTGTTTGTTTTTGTTTTTTTTAATAAAGCATAAAAGTTTTCTGTTTTCAGCCAAACGTTTTACTGCACATCTAACCTGTCTAATCTTGTGATTTGGGGTGATGCTCACATCTGTCTGACTGTAACCGTATCGCAGCTCGTCTGCAGGGGTTGGTGGGGGGGATACAGCTGTCTGTGTAATTGCTGATTAATTAATCAGCGAGGCTAACCCTCGGATTAATTCTATTAGAGTAATCAAAAACAACGGATGACAAATGGCAAATTACGGGAGGCTGAGATTGATTAGTGACTGGTGTAATTATGCCAGCGTGTTATGGAAATGAAGAGGGGGATCAGCGCTCGCTGTGAATGAGCGAGATAATCCCTGATATCGCTCTCTTTCTCTTTCTCTGGACGCAGCTCAAATGGGACATGCGGAGAAAGGTGAGTCGTAAATCCATGCCGCTATCATCATCATTGTCATCATCATCATCATCATAAACATCTGTCCAGGGCATCTGTGTCTGAGTACTTGACCCAATGACCTCGTCCTGATGTGCCGCTCTGTCAGCCTCAAGTCCACATGAGCTGCGGGTTTGCGTGACTGTGAGCCGCAGTAATGCACACAAACATATCAACGTATAATTCAGCTGTGTTTACCCCCCAAATGCACACTAACAGGAAAGCCATCACTTCCCAGAATTCCCTCGCAATCAGCTTTCAAAGCAAAAGCGCCGGAGTCGTGTTTGTAATCGTCTTGATTCTTTTACCCAGGTACATTCAGAGTAAATTTCATTGCAGGCTGTCATAGAAACATGATTGCAGAGAAGGACAGAGGGAAAGTTTGCTTTTACATTTCTTTAATGGAGTTGGCGTGCTGACTTTGAAATGGTTTTAAAGGAAAGCCTTGTGAGCGGCACTCAGACACAATAGCAAATTCTGCACATTTCTTACCCGACTGCGATTACAGCCACGCGCACTGGCGTGTGTGGGTTTACAGCCGAGGTAAAACAAGGTCTTCCGTGTGACTTTAACAAGGCTTTTGTGCGTGGAGTCGTGAACGGCTAGCTCATGATTTGAATGTAATGCTTTGCCTCTCGGGTCGTTGTCATCGGTGTGGATGTAATGATAGAGATGGGGTGTAAAGTGATGTTTAGTGAATCTGAGGAGGAATGGAAGAATATGAGCATGTGTTTTCGCCCCCGAGAGCTGAGATTCAGTGTAACGGTCGTCTAATCAGCCCAGCGGGAATGAGCCTGATGCTCCTGGAGAACAGCACTCGACTGTATGTCAGCTGTATGGAGCTTTTTTGAACATTGTATTTTTTTAACATGTATTAGCCAATAAAAAGAAAAAACAATTGATTTTATCTATCAGTCAATCTGATTGGACTGTGAAAAGTCACTATATAGAAAAGTCATCATGGAGGCAGGGCAAGTTGTCACATTTTGATGAAAGCATGCATAAGCAAGCATTTAAAATGCATGGAATGATTGCAATGTGTACCAGTGAATCATATTCCCAGTAAGAGCAGGAACACGATTTAAAGAGATAGTTCGCCCCAAAATGAAAATCTTGTCAACATTTTTTCACCCTCAAGTTGTTCCAAACCTGTATGAATTTCTTTTAGCTGTTGAACACAAAATATGCTGATAACCAAACAGCTGACGGTAGCCATTGACTTCCATAGTGGAAAAAAAATACTATGGAAGTCAATGGCTACCGTCAGCTGTTTGGTTGCCCACATTCTTTAAAATATCTTATTTTGTATTCAGCAGAAGAAAGAAACTCATACAGGTTTAAAACAAGGCTGAGTAAATGATGACAGGATTTTCATTTTTGGGTCAGCTATCTCTCTAAGAAAGTAAATAGTGTCAATTTGAGTCTCACAGGCAACATCCAGTGGCATTTGCAACCAAATTGGGCAATAATATTATTGGTTAATAATAATTTCCCATGTGCACCAACAGAAAGAGGTTAAATTTTTTTTATTTTTTATATCATGCACAAGACCAGAGCGAGACATGAAAGAAAGAACAGTTTTCATGTGAATGTGTCGTGCTCACGTGCCGCCTGGCAGCGCATCCCATCTGCAGAGCAGTATGTGCTTGTGTTGCTGGCAGGTCACAGAGGGCCTTGTGTCTGTGTTAAATCACAGCTCCGGCCGCGGACGCAAGTTGCTTATCACAGCAGCTGCGAGAGAGCGCCGCACATATTTCGCAGACTCTCTACAAAATCTATTTACAGCAGACAGGTATTGTCTTCGGACAGCGTTTTTTCTCCTCGTTGAAGTCTCTCAGATTATGCACGAAAAATCAATACCTGACAAGTACGTCAGGCGCTTTAGTGTTTCATCTGATGCAGCTATATGGATTTTTAATCCAGTCCTGCATAACGACACAGTCTTCTCAGTGTTGATGCTCAGTGAATGGGAATGAATGAAGTTATTCTCATTAGAATTGGAGCTGAGTTGTCAGCGGTAGGGTTGGGTTGAAATCAGTTCTATTTTCAATGAACTGATATTGATTCTTAAATGCCAAGAATTGATTTATGTTGTTTTCTGTTGATGCGTGAACAAAACTTCACAAAACATTATTTGTGCTTTGTTACTTTTTTGAATTCTGTCAAATTTATTGCAAAATACAAGCAATAGGCTTTGGCACTCTTTGATGTGTCGTGAGAGATCACTGTCGTGACTCAATCCAAGCACATGTGAACCGATCGTCTCTTCCTCTTTACTACTAGTTACTGCATAAAATCAACATGAATGGTCAGCGCTGATAGCCTAGTGGTTAGCGCACTGACATATCGCGCAACTGCACCTCTGGCAACCCAAGTTCGAGTCCCGACTTGCGGCCCTTTGTCAATCCCATTCCCAACTCTCCACCCCATGATTTCCTGTCGTTCTTTACTGTCCTGTCCACTAAAAGCATGAAAAAGTAAAAAAAATGAACATGAATGAAAATCAGAGTGTTGAAAGAAACAGAACAATGTAGCTACTAAAAATGAATCATGTCTCAAACTAGTTTTTATGACATCCACCGTTTAAATAAACATCATTGAAAGTTTATATAGTTTGTTTTATTATATAATAATATTGTTATTATTATAAAAACTGCCCTTTGCGCAAGTTAAATGTTTGTTTACAAATCACTGTAATATTAATGTACCAAGCAATAGTATTCCCTGTATAGTTTACAGCATTAGTTGAGTGATTTTATTCTTTGAAAAAGTTGACATGTACTGTACATGATATCCAATTTAATCAATATCGAATGGAATCAAGATTGAAATGTAATCAATTCCCAAGCTTTTGAATCAAATTGTGAATTTTGTGTCAATACCCAGCCCTAGTCAGTGGTCCATGCGTTGAGTAACTTTGTTCACTAGTGTCCTTAAGGTCATTTCACATTGACATTCCTCAGTGCTGCAGCCGTTTGAGCCATTCACAGCTAATAATTATTGGCCAATGTGAATAAAGTATCATTATGTGAAAACCAAAAAGACATGGAGGAGATATTGAATGTGTGTGTGTGTGTGTGTGTGTATCTAGATACTACATGCTGTATGACACAACTTAAAAGGCATATTGACATACATATAATAATCAGCATATTATGCACATTAGAAATTACATGTAAATGATTAAATAGTAAAATTGCCCTTCAGTGACTCTATCTGGAACTCTTTTCTTGTTAAGGTCAAAGTGCTGCATGATGTTTTTGCAGAGACGTGCGTTGAAGCTCAAATCATGTGAAAGAAGAGGATAAACGGTGATGAATGCCATTCTTTGATAGAGTCTGTGTAGTGTAATCTATGTATTTTCATGAGGGTCATGGGCTCAAGGTGCTGTGAACGACTCAGAGAAGCACATGCATTTCTAGAGAGAGAGAGAGAAATGGGGAGAAGAAAAGACACGGCGAGCTTGTGAGACGTGAAGAGGAGGTTGTTTGTGCTGGAGCTGTGGAGGATGATTGCTGGGATCATTTGTTCGGGAGAAACATCCCAGAAGCAGGAGATTCGTCATCAAGCAAACATTTGGGATTAAAAAAAGAAAATATTGCAATATTAAATAAATGTACTTTTTTAAAATACATGCGTGTTGGTGATTCTGAGCACAATATGAGACACTGTTGAGATCTGCAACTCGAGGAGCCATGAGAGTAACTTCATGAAGCAGGAGATTCATCTGCAAGCAAACATTTCCATTTTGCAATTAAAAAAGAAATAGATTTCTCATTTTTTGATTTTCTGATTGATGTTCAGAGCACAGTGTGAGACGCTGTTGAGATTTGAAACTCTAAAGGAGACATGCGAGTATTTGAGTCTCTTGTTAAGGAGAAAAGCTCTGAAAAGCAGACTTAAGGAAAGCTCTCATCATCTCAATTGTGATATTAAAGAGATTTCTTTTGTGATTTTCTCTTTATGTTGGTAAATCGGCGCACCGTATGAGATTTAAAATAGACATGAGAGTATGCAAGTCTTTTGTTCAGGAGAAACATCTGAGAAGCATTTAATCTCCATGTCATCTCATTTGCGGTTTTTCTTTTCTACGGGCAGATCTCAGAGCGTTTCCTCCAGCGAGAGCTCTTGGCTCAACCTTCAGCTGTGTTTAATGCTGCAAAAATCACTCCGCTGCCTTAATTTTACACAAAATGGTTGTCATGTCCTCTGACTCCACGGCTTCAGGATGGTTGATACACGCACTCCACGCGGCTCTTAATTGTGATCGGCAGCTCCATGTGATTATTTTACCTGGGGTCCGTCTGAGCACATGCTGAGACAGGAGAACGGCTGGCAGATGTGAGATGAGAGCGAGCCGGTGTGAATGAGAGTGGAAATGAGAACCAGAGAGGCTGTATGCCTCACCATGATTCATCTGACTGGAGTCAGCTTGTCTTATATCTGTGTCAACACCGTGATGTTTTGAAGATATCAAGTTTGAACACGTCTAGGTGTGTGTGTTTGACTCACAGTGATTTACCTGTCTTTCATTCCCGGCTCCTTTGAGATGCGCGCATGTGAAATCCTCTCTAGCATCCTATCAGACGTCAGCTGGAATTAAGGTGTCGTGTGTCTGCACATCACAGCTCAAAATGGCCTACTTTTGATGTCTGACTTTGACTTGTAAAAGCTAATATAGCATTTGTAATGAGACTATATTGAAAAAAACGACAGAAGCAGGATTTTTCCTCAACGGTTCAGGAGAAAAATGACTCTGGTGCACTATTGCAGTACTCTTTCATCACTGTAAACTAGCTGGAATAATAATAGTATTAGTTATTATTATTAATTAAAAAATATCATATTAGGGCCACTTTTGTCATTTATTGAAACAGTTTTTTTTTGTTTGTTTTGAATTTTTGGTTCATATGCATGCACCATTTTGACATTTCTGACCAATGTGTTGTGGTTTGATGTTTTTTTTTTTCTGTTTATCATAA